CTAATTTTCTTTTTCTATTCATTCATTTAATTTCTTTGTACTTGCTTACGTTTTTGGACAAAAAAGATAGCAATCACGCGAGAAGAAGGTAGATAATAAGAGAATAAGATAGTTGAATAAGGATTGAAGAAGCTTGATACTCATACTCCACGTTATAATGGTAATGGATGTTGAGTTTGGGTTCGTTTTCTTCCTTTCTATCTTTTTATTTTTCCAATGGCCCATTAGAGGCTTCTCTTCCTTTTCGTTTAATTTTCTTAGAATTTCTAAAGATCTTAATTTTTTATTTTTTTGAAATAGTAGTATGAAAAAATTGGTTGAAAAAATAAAGAATAGAATTCAAGAAGCAAAAGAACATTATGTAATAGCTTGTAATTGATCTTTCACTTCTAGCTCAGAATTGGCTATGTCATCCGAATCAAAACTACAAATGCAGAACTGAACTTTAAAATCAAGGAGAAATAAGAAAAGGAGATAGAATAGTAAGACTCACCAATCAGAAGCAGTGGAACACCATAAATCTCCAAGCGAGGGTAGCGGCAAATAACTGTAACAATAGCCCAGTCCCAAGAGCAACTATATTGCCATAGAGGGAGAAGCGTGTATGTAAAGCATAATAAAAAAGCGTGTATCTCCATAGCTCCTACTATAACTGGAGGAAAAAAGGCGCAGAGAGATGCTAAAACTCAGGCAAAGAGGAAGGCGATGAATGGAAAAGCTCTAGAGGATTTTAGAGCCACAAAGAAAGTAAAATAGAGAAGGGGTATGTGACAATTCTGCATAGGGTAAAAGAAACGCATACTAACTTAAGTAAAGAGTAGAAAAGTCCAATATGCCCTTAGTCGACCATCATAGGTTTCTATAGTATACCTATCTTCGTAGCAAAGAAAGATTCTAATCTTCAACTAAGATTATTCGCTATCAACCACATGATCTAACTGAAAATAAATGGAGAAGCAACTCACTAAATGTTTGTGAAACATGTTTTCCTAGAAGGGGAGCAATGTTGTGTTAAGTTTAACATATTTATAAAAATTAGCGTACTAATTACACTCCTTTAAAAGTTAAATTCATAATTAAAATAACTCTCATCACTTTTACTTAAAATGTTTTCACCACCCAACTAATGTTACACACATGCCTAAAACGCAACACAAACCAACATAATCGGAAGCTGATATTAGTATTCTATCTTCTGAGAACTAAGCTCTTGGGTTCTTATATCTTTTGTCATAATTGAAAGCCATTAGATCAATGTAATTCTCTAATGAATCAGTGATCAATGATCCAATAAGCTTCTGGATGTTTTTTATCACCAAGTTTGAAGCAGAACAAACAGAAAAAGGGAGGAATGCACAAGCATTCCCTGAACAGACGGCGAAATATATAAAGGCAAAGAAAAAAGGTAATTTGCATGACTGTAAAATTCCATCTCCACACAATCAACTCGTGTAATTTTATCCCTAAGAATTCATCTGAAATATAGAATCAATTCTGTTCCAACTTCCCCGAATTAGAGCACTATGAAAAATATATGATTATAATATTGAGAAAATTCAAGTAAAACAACCTCAAATATCTCACATAATACACTCATGACAAAGACATTTAAGAAACAGGTATACTAAAAATAAAGAATGCTCTAAAAAGAATATTATCTCTGTACATATCATAAATATGTTCCCAGAGACTGCACCTTTAAAGAGCAGCAAATACATGGTAAAAGAGCACCATTGTTGTCGGCAAAGAACTCCAAGTTATGCCCTAAACACTTCTACCTCACGCCTAACTCTCCAACAATAAAAGTCAAATCAGACCGGAAAACAAATTCCTCATAAAGATTAACCCGAAAAAAAGAACAAGATTTGGACAAAATTTAAAAGAGGAGGTGACCTGAAAGTTGCAATACCAAGTTGAGAAAACGAAGAGAACTGGAAAAGGCATTAGTAAGTCTGGAGAACTTGAACATATAAGGAAATGAAAGAAGGTGAAGCAATTGATCTTCCTACAGATTTGAAAGAAAATCATACATGTAATTGGAATAAGGGAGGTGAAAGAGTTCTGCTTCTAAAATTGTGTTCGAGTGTTACTTGGAAAAAGCAACCTATTTTATTGTGCAAAATGATAATTATACCCTTGGTCGACCAACTTCTCATTTATATATAATAAAAAAAAACAAGCGTAAAGAAAATTACTTTTGTACAAATTTAAAGGATGCTCTTCATTTTTCGGAGGCAAAAATTGTATTCTAGGGATGAACACATGCTTGGAAGAACATTGACCCAGCATAATTTTTGCATGTATGACGTTATTGTCAAAACCTCTATATACCGTCCTTGTACCATTACATATATCATTTGATGGATCAAAGTTTCTCAGTAACATGATGGGTGTATTTTCTTCTTCTAAAATCGACATGCGTATATGAAAGATTAATTTTAAATTAATAAGAATATCTTCAACTCTCCGATTAAAAGCAGCTAGCAATTTGAAGAAAAAAATACTAATGCATCATAAAGCCTCAAAGTTAACCAAACTAACGTAAAAGAAAACTAAAGTGATTTAGCTGTACAAATGAATTAAAAATTTACTAAAGTATGTGTTTTGACTTGTTGGCTTTTAAAGACTTATGAATTATGGCTGAGTGGAAGAGGAAGAAGGCATATAATGAAATTTATACAAATTAAAATTTACAATTGTTCCTAATTGAACGAGAACTCTTTAAGCATTTAGATAGTTAGAACCTAACCCATTACAAATTAGACATAATAGCTGTGAAAGAATTTTTGTGTTTGTTATATGCACAATAACCTAAATTTGACAATAAACATGTACGGTGGAAGGCCATTCGATATTAAATATTTAAAATTGTATATGCCGTGACATGTTTTCTAGCACAGACAATTATATGTTGCTCTTTCAAGAAGAATATTAATATCTACAATAAAAGTTCTTATTATGACAAACCAACCGTCATAAGGGAACATACACAAAGAATAGCATCGACAAAAAAAGGCCTTAGGCAAGATATGATCACATTGTATATTTATAAACGATAAGTACATAATAATATTATTTAATTAAGACGACTAAATTGATCATTTTTGTAGGTTCATATGATGATGTCCAATATGTTTGAATTCATATATTACGTTAATGTAATAAAAATTTTCCGATATTTTTATTATTTATATTTCTCTCATTAATTAAATTTGGTGTCCCTTCATATAAACAATTGACTAAAACATCACGTATTATTACTCACATGCAACACACGTTCATAGAAACCAGTACTATATTAAAAGCACGAAGGTCCTTGGCGAAATATCGTTCGCCATTTTTACCCTTTAAATTATAGAGTTCACATTAGACAAAATAGTAATTTGAGTATTTCATTAATATTTAGAAATAATTATTTAATTAATTCTCCTACAAAGACAAAAGACAATCTTCTTTCTTTCTTGCGCGCAAAGTACATGTTGTTATATTTATTTAATCAATAAAAATATATATGAACTATGATAAAAGCATAATGCCTCCGAGCAAAATATTAGTAAACCTTTTTAGCATTTAAAAATAAATTTTAAATAGGATAAAATTAACATTTAATTATTTTTCTCAATATTTATAACTTTGAAATCAATCAAAATATTATGATTAAAGTATTAACTTAATTGCCCATTTTTATTGATTACTACATAACGAATCATAATATACATGGTTATTAAGACAAAAGCAATATTCATAAGATATTCTAATTTCAAATTACTAATAGATTTTCTTTTGTATACGTTAATTTAATTTGTTACTTAAATAAATATTATGAGACACGATCATGAATAAATGAATATAATTCATTATATGTGTGTCAATCTCATGATCAATATTTATTATTTTCAAGAACTCAACTTTTTACTTAATATTTATTTTGTGACTAAAATCATGCTTTGAATGTTATTTATATATACTTTTAAAATTATTCTCATCAATATATGGTACAAGCACAACGTGCGTACCCTAAGACTAGTTTTAACAAACATGAGGACTATAGCTTGTTTGGATGGTTGTTACCCGTTGTATTGTATCGTATTGTTACTTTAAATACAATGTTTGTTTTGATTGTTACTTAAATTTTATTGTATCGTATCGTTAAGTCCGTCGTTACATAATGACGAAATGTGCCACTTTATGTAACGACCGATTTGGTGTGGTCGCGTCGTTACCTTGTCTTTTTCTCTCAATCTCACACTTTATTATTATTAAATAATTTTATTTTATAATTTATCCTACATTTTTATATAGTAATTTTACTCTGTATCATAAATTTTCTTTATAATATTGTAAGTTTATTCTTTATATTGTCGGTGCGTGATATCATGAAACGATGACAAACAATACAATCTATCCAAATATTGTATTTATCAAACGATACAATACAATACAATACAATATGATACGATACTTTATGAAACGATACGTAGCAATCATCCAAACAAGTTGTAAGGTTATGTATCAAGGATCAAAATAAACCTACCCATATACTTCCTACGTGTTGTTCCTCCAAATTTTCCTGTATTCACTAAAATCCTGGTTTGAGTCTACTCAATCGGGAGCTTTACACAAATAGCCGACCAGATTTGCTGTTTATTTTTCTTAGTGGACATCAATTAATTGTAAATATACGATTATATATTATACATTGATTTTATATACATATATATATATATATATANAATGAAAAATTAATTTAAATAGCTGCCTACTCAAGCACTTAAATTTAAAATAGCCACAGATATATAATATATGTATTATTTATATATAATATATATAATCATATATAATTATTATATAATGTATGTATATTGACTAAAAAAATAAAGAGTAAATTCGATCGGTAAAGATCCCAATTCTAATTCAGACCTTTTTTCTATAGCCTAATGATTGGCCCATAAATTGTTGCTAATACTTTGGCCCATTTAAATGAATTGAAACACAAACATTCTCCTAACGTAATTTCTTGATTTCACTCTCAGTTGTTATATTATCACCAAATAATAAGCTCGAGTAGAGAAGGGGAACAACAATGGCGATGGCTGAAGAACAAAAGAAACGAACAATGGAGGCATTAGAGCGAAGATTTGCGCAATCCAAAGCTGAGCTTGAGTTACAGCAGCACAAGAACAAGAAAATCTCAGTTGCTACTACAACGACAACAACTCCTGTTGAGAAAAACGGTGGACATACTCCCCAGGGCATCAATTCTTCGCCTTTGCCCTTCAAATCAAAGGCAACTTCCTCTTCTATATCATCCAAAAAAGGTTTCATCTTTTTACCTTTTCCTCTGTATTTCACTGCTTTTGTTTTAAAAAATTATTAATCAACTATGCCTCAATTTCGAATTACTGGGGAAATACTCCATAGTCGTAGTTCGCTGTTCCAATTTTTGATGAGTCAAAGGGTTTTTGATTTGACTACGATTTTTTTTTCCCCAAAGATATATTTAGATATTGTGATTTATAGTTTTTTTTTCTTCTAAAGTAGTTTATGTAAGTTTGTTTTGATTATTAAGGAATGCGTGACTGTTGTACTTCAAACTCCGCCGTGCTTCATTAATAAATTGTACATATTCAATGATTCTTTTAAGACGAATACAAAATTTGAACCAAAGTTACTAGGTTCAGCCGAATGTGCACCCGACACTCTGGCTCTGCGCCCTAGTGTTTATACTCTCACCAAAGCTTGGAGGAAGGAAAATAGAGCAGGAAAAGTCTGCTCTTTGGTGTTTTATCTATTGTCTTTACAGTTGAGATGTATTCTAAGTGGAAATAAACTCAGAAAGTTGAAACAAACTACACTTCTTTTTATACATAACATTGGTGTATCAGGTCAACTTATGTACACCTTGACTATTCCGCCGGGTACATGTTACCTCCCACCAGGTACCCGGTAACTCTGTCCACTCAGGTGAAGAAATCATCTAATGTTTTTTGCCTCTTCTAGGGTTTGAATCATGATCTCTAAGGTTTTGCACCTACCTTATTGACCACTAGGCGACACTTTTGGTTGCAAGTTGAGACAAACTACACCTAGGACAAGAACTTATATTACATGTTCAATGTTGTGTTTGGGTATATCGAGTTTTATAGGATGAACCTTGATTACAACAACAACAACAACAATAACCCAGTGTAATCCCACAAGTGGGGTATGAGGAGGATGAACCTTGATTACTAAAGAAAATGATTTTTTCATATTTACATAGACGGATAAAGTGAGGGAAAGAGAAGAAAGATGATGACTAATGAGAGTTTTTAGGAACCGGTTTTGGCTGTAACAATGACAAAATTAGATTTAAGTTTGATTAAAATCCTAATATAGCCTTCATCTGGTCACTAAATTGCCACAGTTCGTGACAGTGTATCACTTCCTAATCATAGTGTCAGTCATTTTTTCTCTTCAATTTATTCAAGACCAACCTAGTGCTCATGCTTCCACATTTTCCCCAGAGCCTGCATTATTTGTGTTCAGTAGCGGAATCCAACACTAGAACAGCTTGTCGATGTTGACCACGAAGTCCCACTATTTAGAAAGAAAGAACGCACTTGCAATTACTATGTTTAATTCTTTCTCGTTGATTGGAACTGTGTTTTGGAATTATATGTGATTGGAACTGGTTTTCCGAAAGAACTTAGTTGTAATTGCATTATAATTCACTGTATTACTGCCCGAAAATGATAAATGGAGAAGAAAACTTGTTTTATGTGACCTTATAGCAGACAACATGTTTTACGTGCAGAAGACACATGTAGTTTTTCTTTTTCTATGGCAGCTGAATAAAATGAGGAATTTGGTTTTGTTAGATTTTTTTGGAAAAGGGTAAAATCCCTTAGAGATGGCAATAAGCTTTTGATAGAGCAAATTGTGACAAGGCACCGATCATCAACGGAACCAACATGTTCAATCCGAAACTCACAACAATTGGTCAACCACCAAAACTGTACTCAAAACACATGACATAGAAACCAAAACTACTTGGAGTGGCATTGCCAAAGGTACCGTGTTCATCATCTGTTAGGCGAAGCAAAAGTTTGCATTTGCGTACTTAACATCAATAATCAGATGGACTAATGACGTCGTCAATCTTTAGAATCATCTTAACAACCCGAGTTGCAAGCAAAATCTGCTGTTGCTTCCCAATCTGCCTTAAAGACATGTTATTCACGCATGTCATTTGTGCCTGTTAGTTTACAACATGTATATAGTGTAGTATTGTCCCACATTGGTAGAAGAGTAGTATGTCCTTGTATAGTATAGCTATAAATAAGGACCTCTTGTATTGTATTGTTCATCCAATATCAATAACATATTTTCTCCTGTGCCTTCTCACATGGTATCAGAGTAATTGTGAGAGACTTATCGCTGTGCATAAATTCCAGCAATTCCGGAAAAGAGAAATCGCTGTGCATAAATTCTAGCGATTCCGGGAAAGAGAAATCAATACTTTTTTAAGGTTGTTTTCTATCTGCTTCATTTCTGACAGTGTTGTGCAAAATCCAACACTACCACAAGAGTTGTCACTGTCCGACGACCAAACCCCAGTGAAAAACTCCGGCAGCAGCCTCCTCACGCGCCTCCACGCGCCACCAGA